TCGTACTGTGGGTACTGGAGCTGTTGGACCTGAGGGTTCTCCTGGAGCTGGTGCTACTGAGGGTGTTGGCGCTGAGACTACCGCTGGCGGTCCGGCTGGTAGTGCTCCTGGTGCTGCTGGGGGTTCTGGAGCTACTGGAGGTGCTGCTGGAGGTGTTGCTGGAGGTGCTGCTGGAGCGGGTACTCCTGCTGGGGGTACTGGTGCTGTCCCTGCTGTTTCTGGCGTCGCCACGCGGCCCCGACCGTACTTCGTTCCGCTCCTGCAGCAGGTTCTTGGTCTTACACCTTCTCCTGGTCCTCCTCCTCCTCCCTTAGAGGGTGCACAGCCTGTCCCGTCACAGTCACAGCTACAGCCTGCCTCCCCTTTGCCTGCTCCTTCTCCTTACGCTGGTCCGACTGGAGGTCTTACTGAGCGTCGTGAGCCTGCGTCTCGTCCTGCGTCGCCTGTTCGTGCTGCGCGCACTAGTGGTCGCGGTTCGTGTCAGCGTCCTCCTCCTTTCCCTGGCACGCACCGGATGTCTCTGCGTCCGTCTACTGCTCCTCTGCGTGCCCCTTTGCCTTCTCCTCGTGCTTCCTCTCTTCCTGCTCTTGCCGACCCGGAGTCGGACTCTCTTCGTGCTGCCTGTCCTACTGTCACGCGTCTCCTTGCTACTGCCGTCACTGACCCTTCTTTAGAGTCTTCTGCTGCGTCTGCCCTTGTTACTGAGCTCGTCGACTTTGCTGCGCGCTGTCGTCTAGACTACGCTGCTAGTCTTGTCGCTGAGTCCAAGTCTGCCTGTTCTCCGTCCGTCGGGGGTGAGTGTGCCCTTGGCACGGACGTCTTTGAGGACAGGCAGGAGGAGTTCCAGTGGTCCTCACTAGGCACGCGGACGCTTCTTGCGCTGACGACCAGGCTACGCAGCGGTCGTCACAGGGTTACACCTTCAGTCTTGGTTCCGGCTCTGTTTCGTGGCGGGCTACCCGTTCGTCTTCTGTTCTCGGCTCCAGTTGTGAGGCTGCGATCTACGCAGGGGCCATGGCTGCACAGGAGTTACGTTGGCTCACCTACCTGATGACCGACCATGTAGAGCCGCCTCGTTCTCCTCCAGTCCTGTACGTAGACAACAAGGCCATGCTGGCCTTGTGTCGAGAGCAGCGACTGGAGCACAGGACAAAGCACATTGCTCTCCGCTACTTTCTTGCTCGTGAGCTACAGCAGCGTGGACAGTTGCGACTTGCGTACGTGGCCTCTGAGGCTAACACTGCTGATGTCTTCACCAAGGCACTTGCGCCTTGTGATCATCAGCGCTGCTGCACGCAGCTGGGTCTTGTGTCTGTCTTGTCTCACTTGCTCACTTCTTGACCTTGCTTGTACCTTCACCTATATATACTCTTGCTCTTGCTTGCTTGACTCTTGTATATCTCTATATATGATCTTGCATGTGAACTGGCCTTCTGGCCTTTGAACTTGTGCTCGGAATGTGTGGTGACTTTGTGATCCACCCTGAGCTTTGCTTTGCTTTGCTTGACTGGTCTTGTGACCCCTTGTTCTCCCCCACTTTGCCTATGGGGGTGTGTCAGAACATTATAGCTTACTTATTTGTGTAGGCTATAGTGGGGTATCCCATAGGGGGTACAACACAATTATGGTTTCCTATTTGTACTCACTTCGTTCATAGTCATTTCATTCTCGTTCTAGTTTTCTCACCAATTCCCTCCTTCCCCCCTCCGAATAAAAAAAGGCCCCACCCATCTCGCGATAATCGTGATGCCCGTCCTCCCTCCCCCAGGCACAAGCCAACAAAGCACAGGCGCAATTCCTACACCTCGCATGAGAAGCTGCAATGGATTCTGAAGCTCCAAAACGGAGAGATGAGTGTGCGGCGCATGTCTCGCGAATCCGGCATCTCCCGAAGGTGTCTCACGGAGTGTAAGAACCGCAAGGCTGAGCTTGAGGGCGCGCACGGTGCACGTTGTCGCCTGCACAGTCGCGGAAGGAGCGCGTGGTATCGCGACATGGAAGCGGGGGTGTACCGGAGGTTTCTCGCCCACCGCAAGAAGTGCCTCGCTGTCTCGATCGCACGACTGCAGAAGTGGTCGCACGAGGTGATGAAAGAGTTACACCCAGGTGAAAAGTGGGCCGGCTATCAGCGGTGGACTCAGCGCTTTCGCCGCCGCTGGAACCTGACGACCAGAGCGAAGGCCCGGGTCGGCCAGAAGCTCACGTCAAGTGAGTTATTTGGTGGTGTTGTTGTTTGTATGAACCGTCTATTCACGGCTCTCACTCTGTGTTTGTGCTTTCTGTTCCTCCCATCCCGTGTCCCAGACTGCGAGAGTGATGTTAAGAGCTTCTGGACGTACGTGCGTCACTCTCGCCGCCAGTACAAGATCGACCTGCCGTGGATCTTAAACGCGGACCAGACGCCCCTCTGGCTTGAGATGCCATCCGAACGCACCGTTGAAGAGGTTGGCTCGCGCTCCGTGCCCGTCCGCAGCGGCGGCTACCAGAAAGAGCGGGTTACCGTGATGCTCGCCTGCACCGCCAGCGGGGAGAAGTTGAAGCCGTGGGTCTTCTTCAAAAGGAATACCGTCCCCAAAGGAGATTTTCTTTCAGGTATGAAGCACACGTCGATTACGCGGTGGCATGTTCATGTCAGGTGATAGACGTACATTAACTAACATCGTGGTTTTTATGTTGTGCAGATATCCACGTCCGCGTCCATCCCAACGGTTGGATGGACGCGAACGGAGTCATCGAGTGGCTGGACGGGGCGGTGAAGCCGTACATCAACCCCAAGTTCGGAGTCCGTCCCCGCAAGGCTCTGCTCGTCCTCGATTCGTATCGCGGGCACCTGACCCCGGAGGTGAAGAAGAAGTTTGGCGAGCTCAACCTGGTCCCTGCGGTTATCCCTGCTGGCTGCACCTCGGAGATTCAACCCCGCGATGTCGCGGTTAACCGCTCCTTCAAGGCCGCCGTTCGCCAGCTCTACCAGGAGTGGTTTGAGCGTAAGGGGGTCGACACCTTGACGAAGAAAGGTGAGAGGCGCAGCACTGATTACGTTTTTATTTCTTTAACCCGTGCTGACCCGGTTTGTGGATTTGCGTGGCAGGCAACATCAAGAAGCCTCCTGTCGAGCTGACGTTCAAGTGGATCTCGGCGGCCTGGAAGTCCGTGCCCAAGGAGCTCAATCAACGGGCGTTCCTCACCTGCGGCATCAGCAACGCCCTGGATGGGTCCCAGGACAAGCTCTGCCTGCAACACAGGCGAGACGAGCTCGAGGGCGAGGAGGTTGACATGGATGATGAAATTGCAGCAGACGGTTTCTTCTGCAACAACGTAGAGGAACCTGAGTCGGACTCTGAGGCCGACCCAGATGACCCCACTGTAGCTGATGATTAGAGTAGGGTAGATTTTTAGAAAATTGTGAAGCCTGTGTGAGGCTCGTAGGTAGAACTAGATTAACTAGAAGTATATAAACTAGTTGTAGATTAAATAACATGATATGCTAGTGGATTAAATGTATAAAATGTCTTCAAATTAAAAAAACAACAAAAAAACCAGGTTGGCGGTTATAATGTGTTCGGTATAGGTATGCGGTTATAATCTGTAAGCCTTTTAGGTATGCGCTTATAATCGAGCACCGGATATAAGCGCCACACGCCAATTGAAAGCGCCAGGCGCTTATCCGCGGGTGGCGCTTATATCCGGGGTATGACGGTATATCTCAATCTATCGGTGAAAATAAGCCAGAATGGAATCCTGGACTAGAAGAAATCAACCCTCACCTAGAACCAAACATGTGGTTGATAATGCAGCTTTGAGGCAAGAACAAAGGCCAGAATGGGGCTGACAATGCAGTCCCGCTGCTGCACATAGCACCTACAGTAACAGAAGTCTGAGTGGGGTTTCTCACACCGTAATTTAGAATAGAGTGGTTGCTAGGTTGGTTGAAGAATTTTGCCGCAACCAGTCTGTCTGGTCACATCCGTGGTGTTTTGCGTTGTAAAATGCGTTTTTACCTCCAGAAAAAAAAAAATACAAAAGGGCTGTATTGACTGCCTATCACCTAACCACACCATGAGGGTTTTGAGTTAGTCCCGTCTTTTGTGCTCGCGACGCCTTGTGCAATAACGAGTTTGCTCACGAAATTGTTGCGTGGTGGTATTGGTTTGGGATTGAATGTTTGGCGGGAAACTATTCTCCCTGCACGAGGAACTGCTCGGAAGCCTTGATTTGGCTTGCCAAAAAAAATGTTAATCTGCCTGTCTGAATCTCTAGCCGCAGATGGTTTACATCGAGCGGTCAAAACAGGAGCTCCAACCGTCAAATAGATTTCAGTCTGCTGCCCGCGTTATTCAGTAGACGACAACGGTCGAGTGGCACAAAAGTTTACGATATTCCTTCACAGACGTAACCGACCACAGCTTGCTGCTGGCTGCAGCAAAGCAGAAGCGCCAGACGCACACGCAAATTGGGATGCAGGGATGAAATAGCTGCATTGGCCTAGTGGGGCTGTGTTGTAAAGCCATTGTCTTTGGAAGGCGTTTCAAATAGAGCGGAACAAGTCACAATTTACAGCTCCCTGGTATAAGCCATCCACAGCGATAGTCCATCTTGATCATTTTCCATAACGTAACTTCCATTCTCCACTTTTATTCCTGGGTCAGTTACAGGGACAGTTCTTTTCAGCAAGCCGAGCGAGGGAGATAGTATTTACTTGCGCTGATTCACTAGCCTTCAATAGGATTGACGCACCGCTTTCAGTTTCCGCCATGGCGACGAAAGTTTACGTAATGTAAGTATCGACTAGTACCACGTCATCTATCGCCATTGTCACCGCACTTACTCTTGGGCCACCAACAAAGTAGACAATTCCATGCACCCAAAACTTGAGGACAGAGTTCACCTCGCCTGATGTAGCACCCGCTTCCCTTGCACCACTTCCATCCGCTTGTCGATTCAAAATGACCCGGAGCAAAGTCATAAGAACTCTGCCTCTTCTTTCCTGCAGATTCTATTCCATGTACGGCCACGTGGCTGCATTAGCCGAGGAGATCAAGAAGGGAGCAGAGTCCGTGGAAGGGGTCGAAGTCTCCATCTTTCAGGTCAGCTCGCAACTATAAGACTATTCCATGTTAACCCATGTTTCAACATGGACAGTTGGGTAACACAACAGAACGGTAGCGGAAGATAAACAGGCGTATAGACTTCGGGTGGAATAATCGAGGAGTTCCAGAATAGAAACGCGTAGCATAGTTTCCTCCGAGAGGTTTGCTCTATGGTCGGCATTTTTGTTTAACGCTTCTGCATCTTCCATAGCAAAAGATGCAGCTTCCTAGCAGCTTCCTACTCGTTCTTTCTACTGTCTTGTGACGGAGGAATGGTGGCCGATGTGGCCATACTTCCATAATCTCAGGCACATCGAACTTTTCAGATACAATTACTTTTCTTGCAGACAATAATTCGCAATCCCATCTTGCAATGTGTTTCTGCCAACTCTCAAACACACCACACGATTCCTTTACCTGTCGTTCCCTTGTGCTCTGTCTACAGGTTCCCGAGACTCTATCTGACGACGTTCTCGCAAAGATGCACGCTCCGCCGAAGCCGGACATTCCTTCAATTGACGTGCACAACCTCCCGGAAGCCGACTGCTTCCTCTTCGGCTTCCCCACCCGCTACGGCATGATGTCTGCTCAAATGAAGGCCTTTTTTGACGCGACCGGCAGCTTGTGGAGAACGCAAGCGCTGGCCGGCAAGCCTGCCGGTTTCTTCTTCAGCACGGGCTCGCAAGGGGGCGGCCAGGAGACCACTGCGTGAGTTTGAAATTACGAACATACATGCACCTGAATGATCTAGCGTCTTGTGATTCTTTGGTGGATTGACAGAATGAGTAGCACAGCACAAAGCCTCAAGGTGCCGTACCAGGTGCAACGACCTACCCCACCCCACCCCCCTTCTCCCCCATCCCTATCCCTCTCACTCCTTCCGCCCGCATGGAAGATGAGTGTCTGTGAAAATGGAGCAAAATTAGCTGCAGAGCATCCCACGTAGCATTTCTCTATGTGGTCTATGGCATAGTTCCCTCTGCAAGTACGCAAGAGTATATATCCATTCTCTCCTGCTCTTTCCCTTCACGTTCCCTCGCAGGCTGACTGCTGTGACGCAGCTGACGCATCATGGTATGCTATTCGTTCCCATTGGCTACACCTATGGCGCCAACATGTTTGTTCTGGATGAGGTGAAGGGAGGGTCACCCTATGGAGCAGGCACTCTGGCCGGGGATGGAACTCGCCAGCCGACACAGATTGAGCTGGAGCAGGCATTTTATCAAGGCCAGTACACTACCAAAATTGCTAAGAAGCTGAAGAAAGGTTCTGAATAAAGTAGGGCAAGCTTGCAATTCTTGTTTCCCTAGCTTGTGTGTGCGTTGGTGTTTCTTTCCCCTTCTGCCAGCAGTATACCTTCCCCAGTATATTCAGCATCTGGAAACTAAGGCTGTAAATCTGAATCTAATATTCTCACAATAGCGCTCTTTTTTTACTTACCATACCAGAAAAACTAGGAATAGTTTTTCAAGCCATAAGGAGCATCAAATGTACCAGGTTCAACATCCTCCAACCCACATGCTGACTGTTATTCCACAATCCCCCGTGTCCAGTTTCCCGCCAATATTCGTGGTCAGAGGGGACAGAAGCACAGAAAATTGAAATGGAACTGGATGACGTATGCGAAGCTATCAGTTGGCGGAGCGACAATTTCCAGCAGCAAATGTGATTGGCGAAGATGTATTTTCGCTCAGATCACCCGCCAACAAAGCGTCGAGAATGCCGTGCATCTGGGGTTCAAACAGACTCCGGAAAGATGTCCGCAGTTCCGCCTTCGCACTTCGCTCTCTCCCCGCGCGCATGCCATTTTCCTCCCCCAACTTCTGTTGACAAGTGTCGCACGACCGTGACGACGGTCTGCGCGGTCGCTGCGACATTGGGATTCAAGTCTGCGACTGCGACTCTTGACGGGAAAATCACCCTTTTCTCCACTCCCGCTTTGGAAGGTTAGCTGTTCGGTTAAACACAATCATACCGCATTACCGCTTCTGGAAACAGTGCACCAATCAGAACCGTAGTGAATGCACTCGAATGGACCAGGAATGCTCTCCGCTATTTCTGAGATTTTTAGGTTGTTTTTGTACTATACAGCAGCTTCCACTGACCAGAGGGTGTCAGAAGCGGCCCTTGATGGAAGTCACATTCTGAAACCTCCAATGCTGCTTTTGTTCCATAATAACTCTCTCAGTTGCTAGCTTCGACCATAGGCCTCTGCGCGTCAGCTCGAGCCAGCCCCCTCGTTTGGCTCTCGCCGTCAAGTCCGTTACGTCAAGCGCACTCCTTGGTGCGTCGTGCACTTCTTCAGATTAGGATTCGAAGGAAGAAGCAACGAGATTCGACATCTGAAGCGACGAAACTCGCCACGCATTCACCATTTCCCGAAATTCAGGCTCTGCTTGAGCCTTTCGTGCAATTTTAGTTTCGCGTAATCAGCTTATTCTTATCACCCGCTTTGTCATCCTCCATCCACAGTTGTGGTGGCCACTCGTTGTTCTTATCGGATCATCCTCTGCTTACACTGGCCTTTCCGCATCATCCTTAAACACTGAGTAGTCGCTTTCGCGAAAGTCGCAGCTGAGCTTGCTTCACTAGCAGCGCGATCGGAAGGCCTTCCCATCTCGGGACGCGATTCCAAATTAGGTCGAAAGTTCTCCTGGAAGACAAGTCCAGCTGAAAGGAAGCACCAGCGAAGAAAGTCTTGAATTGAGGAGTCGGTTTCTTCGGACACAGCTGATTCGAGCTCGGGACGATGTGGGGGGCGGCAGGCCGTACGAATGCGCAGAAGATCCAGGTGCGATCAAGGAGACTGTTACGTTGTCGCGTTTCGATCTAGAGGTGACTTACGAGTCGACTCGAAAGCCACCGCGAATGCGCAAGTGATTCCACTGAATGCGGAACGGCATATCGCAGCATTCATATTGAATGGATGAGTTAACTCACCTCCAGGATGGATATTGAAGCTGGATGCATTGAATCTGTTTTTTCAGAATTCTAAAAAAAGCAGAGTGAATTCCCTCCAGGATGGATATTGAAGGGGGATTCGTTGTTGGTTTCCAGTTACGCTTCAATCCGTTTGTGCTCGCAGCCTTGGGTGTTTGCCTGCACTCAGAGGGAAGTTGTTCCGTCAGGAATCAATGGCTGCCTAGGCCTCTGCTTGATACATAATTAGAACGTCCTTGGATCGCTAAATTTTGAAATTAGTCATTAGAAGCCCAGCTCTGTCCCCTCTTTTCCCCCACCCTCCCCTCCTCGCTTTTCCTTATCCTTCGCCTTCTCGCCCTCGGTCTCCTTCCGTGCACATTCCACCGCACCCTCCCCTCACCCGCCCCCGCCAGACCATCTTCTACAAGTTCGTGGGGGGCTCGGCGCGCAGCGATGGCGCGGTGGTGGACGAGACAGAGCTGTAACGGCCTGCTTATATCTGGATTTCCTTCCCCTTTCCCCCGTTTCCCTCTCCCCCCCTCCACCTCTCCCCCCTCTCCACCAGACCATATTCAACAAGTTCGTGGGCGGCTCGGCGCGCAGCGATGGCGTGGTGGTGGACGAGACAGAGCTGTAACGGCCTGCTTATATCTGGATTTCCTTCCCCTTTCCCCCGTTTCCCTCTCCCCCCCTCCACCTCTCCCCCCTCTCCACCAGACCATATTCAACAAGTTCGTGGGCGGCTCAGCGCGCAGCGATGGCGTGGTGGTGGACGAGACAGAGCTGTAACGGCCTGCTTATATCTGGATTTCCTTCCCCTTTCCCCCGTTTCCCTCTCCCCCCCTCCACCTCCCCCCCCCCACCAGACCAAATTTAAACAAGTTCGTGGGCGGCTCGGCGCGCAGCGATGGCGTGGTGGTGGACGAGACAGAGCTGTAACGGCCTGCTTATATCTGGATTTCCTTCCCCTTTCCCCCGTTTCCCTCTCCCCCCCTCCACCTCTCCCCCCTCTCCACCAGACCATATTCAACAAGTTCGTGGGCGACTCGGCGCGCAGCGATGGCGTGGTGGTGGACGAGACAGAGCTGTAACGGCCTGCTTATATCTTCCTTCCCCTTTCCCCCGTTTCCCTCTCCCCTTCTCCACCTCCCCCCCCCACCAGACCATATTTAACAAGTTCGTGGGCGGCTCGGCGCGCAGCGATGGCGTGGTGGTGGACGAGGCGGAGCTGCAGCGGCACCAGCAGCTGGAGCGGCTCTACAACACGACCAAGTCCGCTAAGGTACGGATGGGTGGGTGCAGGTGAGTGGGACGAGTGGGTGGGTGCAGAGGAGTGGGACGGTGTCGTCGAGTGGGAAAGAGCAGTTCAGGTGAAGGCGGAGCTGCAGCGGCAGCAGCGGCTGGAGCGGCTTTACAAAACGACCAAGTCCGCCAAGGTATGGATGGGTGCAGAGGAGTGGGACGGTGGCGACGGAAGGAAAGAGCAGTTCAGGTGGAGGCGGAGCTGTAGCAGCATCAGCAGCTGGAGGGGCTACACAAAACGACCAAGTCCGCCACTTGTTCCGAACTTGCCTTATCTGCAGCAGCGAGGGATGGTGGAGGGCATCGAGGGCTGAAGGCTCTTCTCCTATTCCCTCCCTTACCCCGCCTTCCCTGGCCTTCTCCTGTATGTTACCTGGCCTTGCCCCCCGATACCGCCTGCCCATCGCAGCACTTCCAGCACGAGATGGTGAAGGGCATCAAGGGCATCATCAATGCATACCCTAAGGCTCCACTCCTTCCCGCCTCCTCCTTGGCCTTTCCCTGTGTATCGCCTGCCCATCGCAGCACTTCCAAGATGGTGAAGGGCATTGAGGGCATCGTGAGTGCAAGGCTGAAGGCCCCATTACTGACCCCCCACCCCCCTCTCCCCCCCACCACTCATCGCAGATTCCCAGCACTTCCAGCTCGAGATGGTGAAGGGCATTGAGGGCATCGTGAATTCGAGCCTGAAGGCCCCATTCCTACCCTTCTGCTTCTGCCCCACTTGTTCTCCACTCGTCTTCTCTGCAGCGCTTTCTCCGTGACATGACTTGATGAAGGGCATCAACAATGCGAAGCGAACTTGAAGGCCCCGCTCATCACTGCCCTCGTCCTTTGCCTGCCTTCTCGTCTTATGCTACCGGGCTGTGTCCCGTGTATCTTATGCTCATTGCAGCACTTCCAGCGTGAAATGGTGAAGGGCATTGAGGGCATTATCAACGCAAGTCTGATGACCCCACTCATTTCTGCGCTCGTCCTTTCCCTGCCTTCTCGTCTTATGCTACCGGGCTGTGTCCCGTGTATCTTATGCTCATTGCAGCACTTCCAGCGTGAAATGGTCAAGGGCATTGAGGGCATTATCAACGCAAGTCTGATGACCCCACTCATTACTGCCCTCGTCCTTTGCCTGCCTTCTCGTCTTAGGTTATCTGGCTGTGTCCCGTGTATCTTATGCTCATTGCAGCACTTCCAGCGCGAAATGGTGAAATGTATAGAGGGCATTATCAATGCGAATCTGAATGCCCCACTCCTGTGCTCCCCCTTCTGCCCCGATTGTTCCCCACTTGTTCCCCACTTATTCCTCACTCGTCTCCCGCCCAACACAGCACTTCCAACGCGAAATGGTGAAGGGCATAGAGGGCATTATCAACGCAAATCTGAAGCACATCGAATCCAGTAAGACTCTGACACACTTCTGGTTGGCATGGGCATGGTTATGAGCATGGCATGGGCATGGGCATCAGTATGGGCATGGCATTGAGGGCATGGGAATAGGGCACGTCATACTTTTTTTCTTGTCTGAACTATTTCATTCCTGCCCGTTACTGTTTGACCTTCCTGTTGCAGCTGCTGAGCTGTCAAAGAGCATGCAACAAGTATCTTGCAAGTATTGACTCATTCATACCCGTTATTGTCCAACCCTTTTCTGCTACAACTCTCTCTTCAGTTGCAAAGCTATCAGAAGAGTGCCGCAAGTATGGCGCGCCGGAGAGTCCGGGCGGCAGCACTGTTCTGGGCCGGGCGGCGCTGCATTTCGGGGCAGCACACTCGGCAATCGAGAAAGAGAGAGACAATATGGACAGGACTCTTGGAACACAGGTGCGTTTATAGTAACCATGATTATAATGAGAAATGGCTGTGCTTGGTCTTGCAATGGGTGGGCGGCACAGTCAGCAGTGATAAAGAAAAAGATAGCATGGAGACACAGGCGTGCATTGAGTGAAGAGGCGGGGCAGTGTGTGTGCATTCCTGTTGTGTGTGCATTCCTGTTGTGTGTGCATTCCTGTTGTGTGTGTATCCGTTAGTGCTTGCACCCAGTGTGCCTGTACCTAGTGTGCTTGTATCATGGAGAAATCGCAGGTGGGCAACCCCCTAAAGGCCAATGCGATGACATATTACAGGTGGGCATGGTCACGGGCCGCGCGATAAAAGTGTTATTTTGAGATGTCTCAAAATAACACTTTTATCACGTGATATGTCACAGGTGGGCATGGTCACGGGCCGCGCGATAAAAGTGTTATTTTGAGATGTCTCAAAATAACACTTTTATCACGTGATATGTCACAGATGGGCATGGTCGCGGGCCGCGCCTCTAGGATTCGTTGGGCTGAGCTGATAGCTATCTATTGGTATGCTGTCAGAGCGCCTGCATTTACTATGCCTCCATTGATTGATATCAGGTGGGCGATCCCATCAAGGCCATGGTCACGTGCGCGCCTCTGGAGGATGCTTGGCTGGATGAGCTGAGATTCACCCATTGTGTGTGTGTCTATTGTGCTTGCATTGATTGTTGAATGCACAGGCGGGCAACCCCCTCAAGGCCATGGTCACGTGCGCGCCTCTGGAGGATGCTTGGCTGAGCTGGGCTGATATTAATTGTGCCTGTGTCCACTGTGCTTATACCCAATGTGCTTGTATCTATGGATAAACCGCAGATGGGCGACCCTCTCAAGGCCATGGTCATGGGCGCGCCTCTGGAGGATGCTCGGCTGGATTGAACTGGTATTCAGTGTGCCTGTAACGACTGTGCCTGTCTGTACTATGCCTTTTCACAACTGCGCCTGTATTGAATGACATCAGGTGGGAGACCCCCTCAAGGCCATGGTCACGGGCGCCCCTCTGGAGGATGCTTGGGCGGGGCTGGGCTGATATTCATTGTGCCTGTGCCTGCTATGCTTATACCCTATGTGCTTGTATTGATGGATGGATCGCAGGTGGGAGACCCCCTTAAAGCCATGGTGACGGGCGCGCCTTTGGAGGATGCTCGCAGCCTCACCCACCGATACGACAAGCTGCGGCAGGAGGCGGAGGGGCTGGTGAGTGGTGTGGGTGAGGGGTACTTTTGGTGGGGCAGGTGGGCAGATGGGCAGAAGGGCAGATGGGCAGGTGGGCAGATGGGCAGGTGGGCAGATGGGCAGATGGGCAGGTGGGCAGGTGGGCAGGTGGGCAGATGGGCAGATGGGCAGATGGGCAGGTGGGCAGATGGGCAGATGGGCAGGTGGGCAGATGGGCAGGTGGGCAGATGGGCAGGTGGGCAGGTGGGCAGGTGGGCAGGTGGGCAGATGGGCAGATGGGCAGGTGGGCAGGTGGGCAGATGGGCAGATGGGCAGATGGGCAGATGGGCAGATGGGCAGATGGGCAGATGGGCAGATGGGCAGATGGGCAGATGGGCAGATGGGCAGGTGGGCAGGTGGGCAGGTGGGCAGGTGGGCAGGTGGGCAGGTGGGCAGGTGGGCAGATGGGCAGATGGGCAGATGGGCAGATGGGCAGGTGGGCAGGTGGGCAGGTGGGCAGATGGGCAGATGGGCAGATGGGCAGATGGCGGATGGGCAAGCCGGGGAGAGTGGGATGCTCGCAGCCTCACCCACCGATACGACAAGCTGCGGCAGGAGGCGGAGGGGCTGGTGAGTGGGCGTTGAGCGGCGTATAGAAGGGGAGGTGTTGGGCATTGGGCGGCGTTTAGAAGTTAATCCAAAGGCACGGGGCATCTCATTGCTTGTATCCCTCCCTCTCCTCCTAGTTTAGTCGACTCAACAGTCATTTTCCTTTCTCCTTTTCTCTCTCCTTCCCCTTCACCATGTGGTGGCAATTCTGAAGCGCAACCAGAAGGCACGGGGCGGCATCTCTTGGAGTCTTTGATGGTGCTCTGTTCTTTTGTTCCTCTCATGTTGCTACCCCCTTTCATGTTCGTTTGTTCGTCTCATGATGCTCCCTCCTTTCATGTTCTTTTGTTCCTCTCATGATGCTCCCCCTTCTTTCCTGCCTCACCTCTCTCTCTCCCACTATCAGGCAGTGGAGATTCTTGCACTCTGTTTCTCTGCTCATCCCACTCCTCCCGCTACTTTTGAGGCGCCTCAAAAAAATTTGAGTTTTGAGGCGCCTTAGAAGTTCTTGCACTCTGTTTCTCTGCTCATTCCACTCCTCCCGCTCCTCCCCCTTACCCCTCTCCTTTGCCCTTTACGGGTGGTGAAGATTTAGAAGCGCAACCAGAAGGCACGGGACTGCCTCGACTGGATTCCCTACTCCGTTCCTCCTTCCTCTGCTCATCCCTCTCCTCCTCTCCCTTTCTCCCCGCTCTCTCCTTCCCCCCCTCACAGGTGGTGGAGATTCAGAAGCGCAACCAGAAGGCACGGGATGGCCTCACTTCATTACGGTCTGCTCTCTCCTCTCACTCCGTCATCCCCTCCCTCTCCTCCCTCTCCTCCCTCTTCCCCTTCCCACCCTTCAGGTGGTGGAGATTCAGAAGCGCAACCAGAAGGCACGGGATGGCCTGAGCAACCCTGAGAACGCGGCTAAGCTGCAGGTGAGGGGTGGATGGTGGTGGTAACCCTGTTATTGTAACGGGGCTGTATGTAGACACCCTATGCAAGTGGGGGTTTACAAGGCACACAACGGCCTGAGCAATCCTGAGAATGCTGCCAAGCTGCAGGTGAGGATTGATGGCGGTAACCCTGTTATTGTAATGGGGCTATGATAACCATATGCAGGTGAGGTGGGGGTTTACAAGGCACGGGACGGCCTGAGCAACCCTGAGAATGCTGCCAAGCTGCAGGTGAGGGGGGGATGCATGGTGGGGAGTGCATGATGAGGGGGGTTTGCATGGTGAGGAGTGCATGATGAGGAGTGCATGGTGGTAACCCTATTACGGCGGTTTTTGAGTCGACTCAAAATATAATCCACGTGTGATGAGTCGGTTTTTGAGTCGACTCAAAAACCGATGCATGGTGAGGAGTGCATGGTGAGGAGTGCATGGTGAGGAGTGCATGGTGAGGAGTGCATGGTGAGGAGTGCATGGTGAGGAGTGCATGGTGAGGAGTGCATGATGAGGAGTGCATGGTGAGTTGTGCATGGTGAGGAGTGCATGATGAGGAGTGCATGGTGAGGAGTGCATGGTGAGGAGTGCATGATGAGGAGTGCATGATGAGGAGTGCATGATGAGGAGTGCATGATGAGGAGTGCATGATGAGGAGTGCATGATGAGGAGTGCATGGTGGTAACCCTATTACGGCGGTTTTTGAGTCGACTCGAAGTATAATCCACGTGTGATGAGTCGGCTTTTGAGTCGACTCAAAAACTGATGCATGGTGAGGAGTGCATGGTGAGGAGTGCATGGTGAGGAGTGCATGGTGAGGAGTGCATGATCAGGAGTGCATGATGAGGAGTGCATGGTGGTAACCCTATTACGGCGGTTTTTGAGTCGACTCAAAAACCGATGCATGGTGAGGAGTGCATGGTGAGGAGTGCATGGTGGTAACCCTATTACGGCCGCTAAGGGTGGCCCAAGAGTCCATGAGAACGCTGCTAAGCCGTAGTACTTGTCTCATTGCTTTCGATGCGCATGTGTCCCCCCGTGATGGACCAACAGCAAGCAGAGCAGACAATGGGGGATTTGGCAGCCACCATGACACTGAGTGATGGTGGGGGAGGGATGGAGAGGCACTGAGTGCTGATCACTACCATTCGTTTTCTGTGCTCCTTTGCTCTGCAACCTTCTCCCCCTTGCTGCCTGTACCAGCAAGCGGAGCAGAAGATGGGGGAGCTGGCAGCGACCATGACAGTGCTGGGGAGGGTGGCAGGGTTGGCAGCTGGGCTCACTTCTCCTTCCCTTTCCCTGCTCTTTCCTTTCGCCTTTCCTGATGAATCAACAGCAAGCAGAACAGAAGATGGGTGAGCTAGCAGCGACCATGACAGTGCTGGGGAGGGAGGCAGCAACGGCAATGATGGCCGTGGAGGCACAGCAGCAGAGGCAGACGCTGCAGCGACTGATTGGCATGGTGAGTGGTGCAGTGTTGAAGAGAGTATGTGGAACATACTCCTGCTCTGTGCGTTAAGTATGCACCGGAAGACGCTGCAGCGACTCCACAGCGATGATGGCAGTGGAGGCACAGCAGCAGAGGCAGACGCTGCAGCGACTCATTGGAATGGTGAGAGAATCAAAGGGGTGCTCTGTTGCTGCACTGGTGCTGGACTGTGGGTGAGTCGGGGTGAGAACATGCACCTAGAGCAGAGTCGGGGTGAGAACATGCACCTAGAGCAGAGTCGGGGTGAGAACATGCACCTAGAGCAGAGTCGGGGTGAGAACATGCACCTAGAGCAGAGTCGGGGTGAGAACATGCACCTAGAGCAGAGTCGGGGTGAGAACATGCACCTAGAGCAGAGTCGGGGTGAGAACATGCACCTAGAGCAGAGTCGGGGTGAGAACATGCACCTAGAGCAGAGTCGGGGTGAGAACATGCACCTAGAGTTGACTTTTGAGTCGACTCGTGAGTCGGGGTGAGAACATGCACCTAGAGCAGAGCAATGATGGCAGTGGAGGCGCAGCAGCAGAGGCAGACGCTGCAGCGACTCATTGGCATGGTGAGTGGGTTTCACTCCCCACTCCCCCCCTCCCCCCCTCCCCCCACCCACCTTTCCCTTCACCTCCCCCGCAATAACCAGGTGGAGGCAGAGAGGGCGTTTCACCGCGGCTGATTGAAATTCTGAGCCACCTGCACGCACAGATGGTGGGGGAGAGGCAGAAGAACGACCACAGCAATAACAGCAGCGCCTCTGCTCCTACTCCCCCCTCCCCACCCTCGCTCTCCCCTATCAGGTGGAGGCAGAGAGGGCGTTTCACCAACGGTCGGTGGAAATTCTGAGCCACCTGCACGCACAGATGGTGGGGAAGAGGCTAAAGGACGACCACAGTGGGAACAGCAGCGCCTCTGCTGCACACCTCTCCCACACCTTCCCCTGCACCTCTCCCACACCTTCCCCTGCACCTCTCCCACACCTTCCCCTGCACCTCTCCCCCTTCCTCTGCCTCTCCTTCAGGTGGAGGCAGAGAGGGCGTTTCACCAACTGTCAGCGGAAATCTTAAACCACCTGCACGCACAGATGGTGGGGGAGAGGCAGAAGAACGATCACAGTGGCAGTAACAGCAGCGCTGCTGGCGCTACCCCTGCTTCTCATACCTCCTCACCACTTCGCTTCCCCTTCTCCCCAACCAGGTGGAGGCAGAGAGGGCGTTTCACCAACGGTCGGTGGAAATTTTAAACCACCTGCACGCACAGATGATGGGGGAGAGGCAGAAGAACGACCACAGCGGCAGTAACAGCAGCGCTGCTGGTGCCACCCCTGCTGGTGCGGGCAGTACCAACCCGTTTGCAGGCTCGGCCGACCCTCCGCCGCCAAGCTACGAGGAGGTTCGGGGAGGGGGAGGGTCGACCGGCGGCGGGTCGAACCGAGCAGGGTACTTCCTTGCAGAGGTGGGTGATGGGGAGGTACAATTGGGGGAGGTGGATGTGGGGGAAGGTGAATGTGGGGAGAGGTGGATGTGGGGGGAGGTGGATGTGGGGAGAGGTGGATGTGGGGGGGAGGTGGATGTGGGGGGAGGTGGATGTGGGGGGAGGTGGATGTGGGGGGAGGTGGATGTGGGGGGAGGTGGATGTGGGGGGAGGTGGATGTGTGAGGTGCTACTGGGGAAGGTTTTGGGAGGGGGAGGACCGACTGGCGGCGGGTCTAACCGAGCGGAGTACTTCCTTGCAGAGGTGGGTGGGGGGGAGGGGAGGTGGGTGGGAAGGGGGGGAGGTGGGTGGGGTGGATGGGAGGTGGGTGGTGAGTAGGTGACTTCTGAGTGAACTCAAAGATCATCTCAGACCGAGCGGGATAATTCCTTGCAGTGGTGGGTGGGGGGGAGGGGAGGTGGATGTGGAGGAGGGTGGAGGGTGCGGGGGAGGGTGGAGGGTGCGGGGGAGGGTGGAGGGTGCAGGGGAGGGTGGTGGGTGTGGGGGAGGGTGGTGGGTGTGGATTAGGAGGCTGGAGGAGGTAGGGTGGGTGGAAGTGGGTGCGAGGAAGGTGCAACTGGGGAAGGTGGTGTATGCATGCATGACAGGCGGAGGGTTGCAGGAATAGCAGCCTTTGCATCGAGAGACACTTGATTCCTGTTCTCCCTCCGCCTATACGTGTTTTTGAGAATTCTCAAAAAACACTCGGTGCAGGAATAGCAGCCTTTGCATCGAGAGGCACTTGATTCCTCCGATGAGAAAGAGAGTCACTATGTTGGTGCCACTTTCTCAGGTGCCACTCTTCTCCCTGCTCTCCCTCCCTGTTGGGATAGGAAGGTTGAGGGAACGTATGGGATCGTCTAACTGACGACCGCTTGATTGTGAATCACTGCGTGTGCTCCTTGCCCCTCCCTGCCCCTCCCTGCCCCTCCCTGCCCCTCCCTGCCCCTCCCTGCCCCTCCCTGTCCCATTCGAGGCAAAGGGTCCCAGGGAGATATTCCTCAGTGTGTTGACAGCCCTTCCCTCTCTGCGCTGCCTTTCCTTATACCATGCACCACCCACCCACACACCATCATTCAGGTGGTGCATGCATTTGATTCGACGCAGAGGGTCCCGGGGAGATGTCTCTCAATGTGCTGATTAACCTTCCCTCTCTGCCCTGCCTTCCCATGATCACCACCATCAACCTGCCTTCCCCCTGCCTTCCCCCTGCCTTTCCCCTGCCTTTCCCCTGCCTTCCCCCTGCCTTTCCCCTGCCTTTCCCCTGCCTTTCCCCTGCCTTTTCCCGACCTTTTGCCTGTATTTGATCATTCAGGTGGTGCATGCATTTGACGCAAAAGGGTCCCGGGGAGATCTTCCTCAGTGTGTTGACAGCCCTTCCTCTCTGCGCTGCTGTCCCTTGCCCCATGTACCACCCACCCACACACCATCATTCAGGTGGTGCATGCAGCTGATTTGACGCAGAGGGTCCCAATGAGATCTCTCTCAGTGGTGCATACATTTGACGCAGAGGGTCCAGGGGAGATGTCTCTCAATTTGTTGACAGCCCTGCCCTTACTTCCAATACATTCCCTGCCCCTCTGTCATTCAGGTGGTGCATGCATTCGATGCAGAGGGTCCAGGGGAGATGTCTCTCAATTTGTTGACAGCCCTGCCCTTACTTCCAATACATTCCCTGCCCCTCTGTCATTCAGGTGGTGCATGCATTCGATGCAGAGGGTCCCGGGGAGATGTCCCTCAATGTTGGCGACTATGTGGTCGTCAGACAGGTGGGCGGCTGAGAGTTTTAGGGCAGGCAGGCGGGCGGCTGAGAGTTTTAGGGCAGGCAGGTGGACGGCTGAGAGATTCAGGGCAGACAGGTGGGCGGCTGAGAGCTTCAAGGCAGACAGGTGGGCGGCTGAGAATTTTAGGGCAGACAGGTGGACGGCTGAGAGTTTCAGGGCCGAAAAGTGTTTGAGTGTTGAGCATCAACTCTCATGAATACTCAAAAAAAGGGTTGAGTGTTTCCACTCTGCATGCTGCCTCAGCCCCCACACATGCCCCACTATCACATGTGCTTGTCAATCTGTCATCTATTTCCTTCCTGCTTTTCATTTGGCTTTTAAGGTTCCCCTTAACCCCCTTCCCCCCTCCTCCCCCCTCCTCCAAATCCTAAGTGCATGTGCCTCACGCACTCCCTTTTTTTTGGATGATTCAAGGCATGCATACCCTTTTATCCGCTCCTATTCTATGCTTTAAAATTCACTCATCTCATTGGAACTTTCATGTGCGTACACCCCACCCGCCCTTCTTCCTGACAGGTGTCACCCAACGGTTGGTCGGAGGGCGAGGCGAAAGGAAAGGCTGGGTGGTTTCCTTCGGCCTTTGTGGAACGCAGGCAGAGAGCCCCAGCAAGCAAGATTCTAGAAGCTTCTGGAGGCCTTTAGATCCGCGGGTGAAGCCGTTGAATATGTAACCAGAACTGTCAAACTCCGTTTCGTACGCAATGATATGATACATACACATACAGAAGACATCTTAAGGCGGTACTACAGTAGATTCTGTGAAGGAAATATTGCAGTGTTGTGACCTCGCTCATTAAGTTGGCCAGCTTGACCAGCGTTACAGTTTCTCTGCACGGCATCAATACTGTACCGTACCTGTCTACGAGGTGTATTCTGCACTTTTAGCAGGACTATGGAACAAGACCTGGAAACTCTAGCCTTCCTGCCACCCCCCCTTAGGCCACAGCCTCGCAAGCATTGTCATCACCCGGATATACCCCCAGGCCTATGTTACACCCATGCGGTTATAATCGTACTAGTGGGCTTATAGCCGGTTGCCGATTATAAGCCCACCCCAAGTTGTGTCAATCTTCGTATAAGCGCACCCAATGAATTCTGGTTTTTTTTGTAGCGAAATCACCACTAACGCGCCTAAACGAATCGTCACAGACGTGCCTGACGAAATCCCCCCTGGCTCGCTTGGCAAAATTGCCACAGGAGGTGCACGTGCGCGAAATCTGCAACATTTGAGCAGGTGCTGACTCGGATTCTTGACTGTACGACACATTCTCTGTTAGGCCCGACGGCCTATGTCCGCTAAAGAATTAGCGGGGTCGACTAAGTCGAGGATGAAACGCGGCGGAAGACTTTGGCGAAAGAACTATTGGCGAAATAGGCGAAGAAGTTACTGAGTAATTGAAGAAGAGTTGAATGAGAATTGATTGATAATGGCAAGTACAAGCAAGGTTTATATAGCATGCAAGAAACAAGGTTGGAAAGTGGAATGTGGGACCAAGAATTGGAGTGCAAGAAAAGTAGAGTGCCACGTGGCACTAGAGAATCTGAGAAGATAAGGATAATGGTGACTAGGAATGTACTGTTCGGAATGAACAGTAAACACTGTCAGATTTATATGACATAGTTTCTGTAGGCTTTAGTGGGGTAGCACATATGGGGTACAGGGTTTCTAGGGTTGTATTTGTACCCAATCTTCCATAGTCATTTCATTCCTGTTTTCCTTATTTCACATGGTATAGAGCGGGTCCTACCTTAGGACCGTTTTTTTTAGGGCCCACCGAAGCGCGCCCCGAGGCGCGCCTTTTTTTTAGCGACCCCTCGGGTCGCCTTTTCCCTCGCGGCCCCGCTGTCCCTCAGACGCGGCCCCGCCACCTCTCCTGATCGCGGCCCCGCCGCCTGTTTGACGCGGCCCCGCCGCCTCCCCTGACGCGGCCCCGCCGCCTCCCCTGACGCGGCTCCGCCGCCTCCCCTGACGCGGCCCCGCCGCCTGTTTGACGCGGCCCCGCCGCCTTCCCTGACGCGGCCCCGCCGCCTCCCCTGACGCGGCTCCGCCGCCTCCCCTGACGCGGCACCGCCGCCTCCCCTGACGCGGCTCCGCCGCCTCCCCTGACGCGGCCCTGCCGCCTCCCCTGACTCGGCTCCGCCGCCTCCCCTGCCGGCCCGCCGCTGCTCCTGTCGGCCCGCCACTGCACCTGCCGGCCTGCCGCTGCACCCAGCGGCCCGCCGCCTCTAACGGCCTCGCCGCTGCACCTGCCGGCCCGCCGCCTCTGACGGCCTCGCCGCTGCACCTGCCGGCCCGCCACTGCACCCTACGGCCCGCCACCTGCACCTGCCGGCCCGCCACTGCACCTGCCGGCCCGCCGCTGCACCTGCCGGCCCGCCGCTGCACCTGCCGGCCCGCCACTGCACCGGTCAACCCGCCGCTGCACCTGACGGCCCCGCCCCTGGATCTCCTGGCCGAGCCGCCCCAGCAGCCGAACCGCCCGTGAGCCGAGCTGCCCGACGCCGAGCCGCCCGGGACCCGAGCCGCCCAACCGCCGAGCCGCCCAGGAGCCGAGCCGCTCTGCACCCGAGCCGCCCAACCGCCGAGCCGCCCGGAAGCCGTGCCGCCCGGGAGCCGAGCCGCCCTGCGCCCGAGCCGCCCAGCACCCGAGCCGCCAGGTCGCTGAGCCGCCTTTCTGCATACCTACTCGACCTGCCCTGCCTGGTGAGCACAGTCCCACTGCCACTGCGAGCTCTTTCCCTGCTGCTTGCACTGCGTCGCTGTTGTCGCCATGGCTACCCCTAGTGTCCTAGCTTTTGACGCTGAGGGTCGCGCCATTGATTTTGAGGTCTGGTTAGACGACCTGCAGCTGTTCTTACAGTGCGACAGGGCTGACGACCTTTCTCTCTTTGATCTCACCTCTGGCGCCTCTCCTGCTCCTGCTGCTGATGCTGATCCCGCTGTCCGCTCTAAGTGGGCCACCCGCGATGCTGCTGCACGTCTTGCTGTGCGTCGCCACCTCCCTACCTCTGAGCGTGCGCACTTTAGTCAGTACAAGAGTGCTCAGACCTTGTACGACGCTGTAGTTGCGCGCTACTCCTCCCCTGCCACTGCTGCACTGAGCCGTCTCATGCTTCCCTACCTCTTTCCTGACCTCTCTGCCTTTCCCACTGTCGCTGACCTCATTACGCACCTCCGCACTAGTGACACTCGCTACCGCGCCGCCCTTCCTGCTGAGTTCTGCGCTAAGAACCCCCCCCCCATGTACATCGCTCTCTACTACGTAGTCGCGCGCCTCCCTGACTCCCTTCGCGTCGTCAGGGACCACTTTCTCGCAGTCTGTCCCACCACCCTCACCGTCGACCTCCTCGAGAAGGCCCTCCTTGCAGCGGAGAAGAGCATAGTCGCTGTAGGTGCTTCTCGTGGTGACCCTCGCACCCCCATCTTTGAGGGGTGCTCTCCTTCCCCCTTGCTGCCCTCTGTTGCCTCTGCTGCTGCTGCCGACCTGCTTGGTCTTGAGTCGGTCGGCGCGGCGTCTGCCCCTAGTGGGAGACGTCGCTCCAGCAAGGGCAAGGGGGGCAAGGGCGCGGGTGGAGCTGGAGGGGGCGGTGGCGGTGGCGGCGGTGGCGGCGGAGGGAGTGGGGGTGGCGGCGGGACTAGTGGCGGGGGTGGTGGTGGTGGTGGTGGCAGCAGCGGCGGAGACGGTGGTGGTGGTGCCAGCGGTGGTGGTGGAGGCAGCGGCGGAGGTGGAGGCGGCGGAGGTGGAGGCGGTGGAGGCGGCAGCGGAGGAGGCAGTAGTGGTGGAGGAGGTGGAGCTGGTCGGGGTGGTACCCAGCAGCGTAGCGGCGGTGGTGGTGGCCAGCGCTCGCACCGGCAGCAGCAGCAGCGCTCGCGGGACATCCCTTCGCCTCAGCAGCTTCGTGAGTGGTACGCTGGGCGTCAGAGGGGTGGGGGTACTGGTCCCTGCACCTACGTTCTTCGTTCCGGCGACCGCGCGGGTGAGCAGTGTGGGGGTGCCCACGCCACCCAGCGCTGCTTTGGCCGCCTGACGGACGCCTGGCGTCAGCAGTTCCCTGGGACTAGTGAGATCCCTCGCTGGGATGAGCTTCTCAGGGCTGGTGTAGCGATCTTTGATCTTGATTTTGATGCTATCCTTACTGCTATGTATGTTGTGGATTATAGTGAGGAGAATGAGGGTTACCGTTGTTTCCAGCCCGACCCGGGCATTGGTACTGCTGCGCTAGGTGCTTGTGAGGCTGCTGATCTAGGTGCCAGTGCGTCTGCGCTCTCAGGTACTGGTGAGACTGCGCTCTCAGGTACTGCGTCGTCCTCGTCCTCCCTCACTTTCACACTTGACTCCGGAGCTTCTCGCTCCTTCTTTCGAGACCGCACTACTCTTACGCCGCTCGGCCGGCCGGTTGCAGTCTCCCTTGCTGACCCCTCTGGAGGTCCTGTCCTGTCTCACTTCTCCACTGTCCTCCCGTGTCCGGCTGCCCCTTCGGGCACCCTGTCGGGTCTGTACCTTCCCTCGTTCTCCACGAACTTGGTGAGTGGAGCGGACCTGCAGGATGGGGGTGTTCACCAGTTCACTCCTGCGAGCCAGCGGGTGACCCACTGCACGGAGGCACGCACAGGCCGACACCTGGCCACGTTCTAGCGCCGGCCGGGGTCGAGTCTCTACACCCTGACCGTTGAGTCTCCTCCTGTCCCTGCGTCTGGTCAGGTGGCTGCGTCGGGTCAGATACTTGCTGCTGCGTCCCGGTCAGGTCCTGAGTCTGCCCCCTGTTCTTGTCGCCTCCTGTCTCACGAGACTCTCCTGTGGCACCACCGTCTTGGCCACCCCTCCTTGCCCCGTCTTCGGAGCATGGCTTCCCGTGTCCTTGTCTCTGGTCTTCCCCAGTCTCTCCCTCCTCTCCCCTCCGGGCCAGGACCTTCCTGTGTCCCCTGTGTCGAGGGTCGCCTCCGGGCTACTCCTCACTCCTCCCACTTCCCCCCGACAGAGGCTCCCCTGCAGACGCTTCACATGGATGTGTGGGGCCCAGCCCCCGTCCGTGGGCAGGGTTACGAGCGCTACTTCCTGTTGGTGGTTGACGACTACTCGCGTTACACCACAGTCCTCCCCTTGGGCAGCAAGGGTGAGGTCACTGAGGTGCTGATCGACTGGATCCGCGAGGCTCGTCTCCAGCTCAGGAAGAGCTTCGGCTCGGACTTTCCTGTTCTGCGTCTGCACTCTGACAGAGGCGGAGAGTTCTCTTCTCGCCTTCTGCGAGACTACTGTCGCGCACGGGGGATCCGCCAGACCTTCACGCTTCCGGACTCACCACAGCAAAATGGGATTGCTGAGCGCCGCATTGGCATGGTCATGGATGTCGCTCGTACGTCCATGATGCATGCGGCTGCCCCCCATTTTCTGTGGCCGTTTGCGGTGAGGTACGCGGCGCATCAGCTCAACCTTCACCCCCGGGTCTCTCGGCCTGCGATGTCCCCAGCCTTGCTGTGGACGGGGAAGGTTGGCGATGCGTCTGTGTTCCGTGTCTGGGGATCTCGGGCGTTTGTCCGCGACTTGTCTGCGGACAAGCTGTCCCCTCGTGCTGCTCCCTGTGTCTTCCTTGGCTTCCCCACTGACGCCCCAGGGTGGCAGTTTTACCACCCCTCCTCTCGT